ATAAGTTAATATAATAAGAAAATATTTCTATTAATAAATTTATGCAAATTTCTGATACAGAATAGGTAGGAAGTTAAATATTATTTTTAGGAATGTTTGAATTTGTTTGATCCAAACACCTATCAAGAAGGACAAGGACCGAGATTAGGAAATTGTTATCAACCTCCAACTTATGAAGAATTGATGGCAGCATCCACTGATAATCAATTAAAGTTATTACCAAATAATAGAGAGAAGTTTTTTGAGTTTATTCTTAAAGAACAAGTAAAATATATATATATATATTTCTAGTAAGTAAGATTGAATCCAAAAGTCTAATAATTATATAAAGATATGAATCATTCTAGTGCAGTTGAACATGCTATACATTCTGAGTTACTTAAGACATTTGGATATGATGATTGCCCTCTTAATCATAAATTATATTTTGCCTTAACCAGAAAATATTCAAATGATCCTGAACTAAAACCTTAAATATTTTTCTGGAGAAACAATGTCATGCATGGAAGCAGAGTGAAATTAAATGAAACACCTCCTCCCATACCATTATTGACACTTGACAATAAAGAACTTTAATTAGAATAATTATTGTAATCTGCCTAAGAAGAAAAAAAGTTATGTGTAATCTTTGCTGGCAGTTATACATGACCTCCATATAGGGATTCTATGCCAGATTACATAGAATTTGCCTTAAAATATAAAGATATATGCAAATGCCAATTTATATATATTAAAGAGGCTCATTTTCTTGAAACAGATGAGTAAGGCAAATTCATAGATGGATGGCCTAGAGGATATTTCGGCTTTGAGTATCCATAGCATAAGAGCCAAGAATAACGACTTTAAATGGCATAAATTCTCAAAACTAAATATAATATTCCAGATGAATTTCCTATTTATCAAGATATCTATCCTTAAAATCTATTTGATGAATCATTTGGTATTTGGCCAGATAATTTATGTGTTTTTAAAGATGGTAAATTAATTTATAGAGGTATCATTAATTTGGATGGAACAAGAAAAGAAAGCCATTCAAAAGAATTAGAAGAATGGCTTGATAACTTTAAATATTGATTTTATCTAAAAAGGAAATGTATTTAAAAATGAATTTCTACATTTGAAATAAAGTTCAACAGATGTGGAAAGGAAACTGAAATTAAATATATTTTCTTTATTTAATATTTTATTATAATCTATATAATAATTAAATTATAATTAAATACTTTCATAAATTCCTTTTATAAATAGTTTTTCAATAAAATTAGCATAATTAATTATATTTATATTCTATAATTATGATTTTATAAATAAAATAACATTATATATAAGATAATTTGAATTTATTAAAGATGAATAATAAAAATTGAATTACTTATAAATAATATTAGTAAAATAAACATCACAAATATATATTTTATTAATCAAATAAAGTATTTATAAAACCACTTGATATTGAACAACTTAAGTAAGATATAAAAGAGTATCATATGTAATATAATAATGTTTTTGATTTTTTATATATTTGAATCATATTTCTAGTTTTTGAATGTAACTCTTAATTCCATCATTGAATCTACTTGTGAAAATTTCGATACATTCATTGATAATTCCAAGCTCAGTATTTCTAATAATAATAAATAAATGATATACTTTTATTATCTAACATTTTAGTGAGCTTTCAATTCATCAGCACAAGTCTTTTACCAATCTGTCATTTCTTAACTCTTAACATCTAATAATTATCCTTTAGATTCTATATCATTCTTTAATTCTAATAAATTTTATCTCAATTTTTCAGCATCTGCAGCTAAATCAGCCAAACTTGTTTCAAGTGTCTTACTTTCTAATTCATATCTTGCTTTTTATAATAAATAAAGTTCTTATTTAGCTTTTTCTCCTTGATGTCCAACCTTTTATAAATGTTCCAAAGACTTTAAATTATGATTAGAATATTTACTTCAATTAATTCATCAATAATTTAAACAACTTTAGAAACATTTTCATCTCCTGAAGCTGCCACTAACATTTTAACAAGTCCATTATAAGGTGTTTGTTTATTATGTAAAGATTCTAAATGTTTATGTAATTTAGTTTTAACATCAGCAACTTATGTGAAAGAACTATTGAGTTATGAAACAATGGATTTAGCTTTCTTTAATCCTTATATAAATTCAACAGATTCTGTTTATTTAGCTTCAAATGCTTTCTATAAAGATATATATAAATATAATTACTTTTTCTTCTTCTCTTGACTTTTCTAAACTAGATAATCTATCTTAGATTCTTTAATCTTATCCTACTTTATCTTTAAGTTATTAATTCTTGGCAATCAATTCTTCTTATCTAAGTGGGAATAATTATTCATCTGATGCCTTTTTGCCTGAAGCTGAATCAATAACACCTTAAATTTCATCAAAACGAAGATTGCAGAGTTCTTATTAATGTCTCAAATTCTAAGTATTTTCTTCTAAGTCACTTTATGCATTAGTTTACATGGATTTCAATTGATGAACTATTCCATCAATATTTGAGCTAATCAATTATTATTACATGGAATTTACTCTTCACTTGAAAGGGAGATTTACATTGTTGCTATGATTGTTTTTCCAAATTCATATTGGGATAATTCAGAAAGTAATTCATAGTCATTTGCTGTGACTAACAAAGCAAGGCATACTAAGACTATAAACTTCATATATTTTTAATATTATTAAAAACGATAATTTATGATAGGATTAATAAAAGAAAAAAATTGAAAAATATTTGTGCTTGATTAAGAAGAAACCTAAATAATTCATTCTTTTCAAACTTAAATGTTTGAGAAATCAGCACTTTAGACAACAGATAAAGCTTATTCACTGATTCCAAGTTCTCTTGTGAATTCATTCTTTAAATTGGTGTATGTATCGGTTTCTTCAGCATAGGTGTTATTCTCTAATTCTAATTCTGCAGTATATTATTTTCTGTCAGCATCTCTTTAATCTCTGAATTCAGTCATTTAATCAATCTTTTCTATAAATTATCAATTAAAAACTTATACCATTTGTTGCAGTCAAATCAACATTAACTCTATTGATTTATCTTTAGAATTCAGCATATTCATCATCTAATTATTCAAGATATTCTTCATGATCTTCTTAAGCTTAAGCTTCAGCAGCTGTTTAAGCATTAATTGAATCAACAATAGCATTTCTGAATTCATTAAGAGCATCAACGATTTAACCAATGATTCCTTGATCAGAGAAGTTCTAGTTTGAAGCTAATGAAATAAGAGCCTTAATCATTGGAGCCATCTTGGATCTGGATTTAATCTTTTATTCAATGTTCTTCAATGAGTTTTAGAATCTCTTGACTTATAATAATGATGGATTGGTGAGTGTTTCAAGAAGAGCAAGAGCATCATCGACTGCAGCAGTTGCATCATTTAATTCAGCAACTTAGAGTTCAAAATCTTCATGTTCTTATTCTCTTACAAGAACTGCTTCATCATAATTCTTTCTATTAGCCTCTTAGTTTTCTTAGATTTGTTCAATTCTGACTTAGAGTTATTCTCTTCTTGGGAAAAGTAAATTATCTAATGTGTCTTATGTATTATTGACATCTAGTTAAATAATTTAAAATTATTACCAATAACAGCGTCTTAGATGTCTTATTCAAGGCTAACCACTAATGCATTGTGTTCGTTGGTTCTAACTTAGAAATTGAATTCTAATTCTTCCAATTCATCTTCAAGATCGTTGATAAGCTCTTCAATAGCATCAATCAACTCTTAGACGGGTCCTCCAGCCATAGAGTGGAGTTCGACTAAGTGAAGTAATGCACTTCCATATGTGCTCTTCTTAAGGTCTGTTGTGATTTTTGCAAGATTTCTCTCTTGCACTCTAGCTGTGAAAGCTATTGCAATCAAGGCTATCAGCAATATTGATTTCATAAGAAAATTATTGTAAATATTCAATACAAAAAACACATAGTTAAACAACAAAAACGACTAGTCTTCATTAATTTAATAAACAAATTAAAAACGCTATTCTGTTCTTTGTAATAATATAAATATTACTGTTTTACAAATTATTCTCTCTTTGATTAATATAATAAAATCATAGAATATTTAATACTCTACTTGTTAATTTTTACTAAATGTTCAACCTAATGATCTTCATATGTATATCTTTTTCTATTTATTCCTTTTTAAATTAATTTTAAATAGTATAAAATTATATATGAATTCATAATATGTTATCTAAATCTTCATTCAAATTTTTATATTCTTTCTAATGAACTAAGTAGAATTTAAATAGATTTTACATACTTATCATATCAATTATTTAATAGGAATGTAGATATTAATTATACAATTAGAATACGATACAGCATTTATAATAGATCAAAAATTAGTGATAGAAATTAATTCTAATAAACATCAATAGTGTTAAAGAAGATTAAGAAAATTATATTATAGCAATTCGAATTTATAATAATTATTTAATTATAGAATTAAATGAGTAATATATTTAAAAGACTAATTAATATCTAACAAAAAATAATCACTAAAGATGTTTCAATTACTTAATATAAAGTATAATCTTGAGTTTTTTATAAAACATTTTATTAATAATAGAATTATACAATTTAAAGAATTATTAATAAATATGGTAGAATAAATTCAACTATTAAAGAATTTAAGTTCATATGCTATGATAACTGATTATCAAATTTTATAATGAGAATAATGTTTATATCTAGCTCTAATTTGAATTAAATTTTAAATACAGAAGTTTGCCTATAAAATTCTTATACATACATTATAGATTAATTATTACAATCTAAAACTACAAAGATAATTCAAG